ATGGACAGAAATTATAGTATGTTTTTGTTTATATTTTTGTCATATGGACAGAAATTATAGTATATTTTTGTTATATGGACAGAAATTATAGTATATTTTTGTTATATGTTCTATAATCAGTTACATGGTACAACACATTATGACGCTGATGAAGGTATATAATATCCCATCCATCATTTCACACATGATATAATAATTATATATTTACCTTATTCAGTCAGGCATCACTCATGGTCTTCAAGGTAAATTCCAACCACCATACTCGTAAAAATTTTCCCTAAGTTAAAATTCAATTACTACTGATGTAATCATCAAAGGGTTCAAGTTAGGTCAAGTTTTCATACTTAATAACCCAACCAATAAGTTAGGACTGGCTTTAAATTCGTTTAAGGTTGAGAAAGTTAGAAGTTAATGATTTACTGATGAAGTCATGGCGGGATTTACCTGTTAAAGAGTTGTTAATAATGCACACAGGTGGAGAGCTTTATACTGAGCTTTATGTGGTATTATACTTCTACCTATAATGAACTAACAATTAAAAAAGGAGTTTGGGGTGAACTTAAGACATCGAAATTATACGGAGAATTCTGGAGGGGGGGTGAGGAGGATTATAGGTGTGTGTGTGTGTGTGTGTGTGTGTGTGTGTGTGTGTGTGTGTGTGTGTGTGTGTGTGTGTGTGTGTGTGTGTGTGTTTGTTTGTGTGTGTGTGTGTGTGTGTGTGTGTGTGTGTGTGTGTGTGTGTGTGTGTGTTGTGAAAATGGTTTGAGATATTTGTAAGAGGAATGATGCTCTTGAGAACGGTGTAGTGGTATTGGTCGAGCCAGCCTTCTCTCTCTCTCTCTCTCTTACCCACATTATTTATTTAGGTTACGAGACGTATCCTTCTAACCTTGATGGCTGTTTGACACTCCTTCGCTCACCTCTCCTTCCTCTCTTCCTTCCTCCTTTCATCACCACCCCTTCTTCATCACCTCTCTCCTCCCTTCACTACCCTCCGCATCTCACCTCCTTCGCTTTACATCGTTCCCCCCTTTCCTTTACAACCCCCCAATCGGTGAAGGGGAAGTAGGAGGGTAACATAAAAGCCGACCCGCTCCACCAAACCCTTTTGTCTTGTCATGTATCCGAGAGCCTGCCCTCCACCCATTCTCCGCCCTCCACCCCCCTCATACCCGGGCTACACCTCTCCTTCACAAACACCCAGCCCACCTCCACCCACCTGACCCACGTCCACCCACTTCCATCTCCTTTATCTTGACCCACCTCCACCCACCCTGACCCATCTTCACCCACCCTGTCTCATACGTTGACTTACCTCCACCAACTATGACCCTCCTCCACTCACCCTGAACCCACCTCAACCCAACTTCCACCCACTACCAGTCAGCTGACTAAACGTTCCCCACTAAACGTTCGCTCAGTGAACGTCTACCTGAGTAATTGTTCTCTTAATTAAACGTCTCCCGTTAGTACACGTCCTGATGATGAAACATTCTTCTTGCTTGATAATCTCAATAAACGTTCTTCTTAAACATTCTTACAACTCAGCTTTTTTACATTTCTTCATAATAAACGTTCTTCCTATTGACATGACCTTCTTATCAAACGTTCTTCTTATCAGTCGTTTTTGTGTCACCCAACCAATTACACTAACGTCCCAATTCCCACCCGAAAACCAACTGTATTCTTCCCCAATTTCCCAAACCAATTATAACTCCCTATTTCCCTAAACCCCGATTTTCTTCCCAAATTTCCAAAACCAATTATAATTTTCCAATTTCCTCAACGATTATTCCACCAATTTGACTGAACTTGTTACATTTTCCAATTTCACTCAACCTATTACACTTTTTGATCTCACCTAACCAATTAAACCTATTCCTCCAAACCAATTACAGTACACCTAATTTCACTGACCCAATTAAGCAAACTCCAAATTTTCCGTTAACCAGTAATACCTCCCAAGCCAATTACAACGCAATTTTAAACACACCTACACCAATCACAACTCCCAGAATTTCATGAGCCAATTTTCCACAACCAATTCCCCCAAATCCTACCAAAACCTCCCAAATTTCCCGAAACCAATTTCACTTTCCTAAATTTACACCAAACACTTACACCACCCAATTTTCCCCAACCCAATTAAACCTAAAAAAAAAAAATCCCAAATTTCACCAACCAATTTTCCACCACCAATTACACCTCCCACATTCTGTTAGCAGCTCCTACACTCCATAATTTGAAGGGTCTTTGTGCTGGAATGGTGAGGGTGGGGGGGCCAGCCTGCCTCAGACAATAGCTGTTAAACGCCTACATAATAAGTGACAGTTCTCGCGCTGGTAATGTTCCAAACGTATACAGCTTTACATGCAAGGAGAACCTACCTACCTAACCAACGTAACCTACCTAGCCTAGCCCTACCTCACCTAACCTAACCTAACCTAACCTACCTACCTACTTACCTCCCATCTTCTTCCTCCCACTACTATCCTCCCATCCCCATTTAAACACCTCCCCCAGGCTCTCTACCCTACTACCCCTTCCACCTACACTTCATCTTCCTCCCACACCACCCCTTCCTCCACCCCTATCCCTACTACCCCTTTCCTCACACACTTCTTCCTCTTCCCGAGAACTTCCTGTCCCTTCCTCCTACACTCCACTTACCTCCTTCCCCCATCCTCCACTCCCTCCCTCTCCCCTTACACTCTATCTCCATCTCTCCATAATTTCCCATCGTCTCCCTTACTCCAACACACCACCTCCCCACACCCCCTCATCCCTCCTACCCATACTCCCCACGACCTCCATGTTCCTCTTGGCTGGCACCTCATATTTAGGACAGGATTAAGGACAAACTTTCGATTCAACCAGAAAAAAAAACCTAAACAGATTAAAATAACGTTATCATTATTGTTTAAATCAACTTTTCTAAGCGTTTTCTTTTCTCTAATAAGAAAAAAAGGAATAACGTTTTTAGTATTGTGTTAAGTCGTAAATAAGTAAAAAAAAGATAGTTTTAATTCTAGTTTAAAATTGTATATGTTAAAAGTACTACTGTATAGCCTCGTATAAGTGGAGAAACGCGGAGTTAAATGTGGGTAAAATAATCAGTGTTTGGAGTCTTGTACAAATATCAAACGGATAAAAAAAAACATGGAACGTGTTCACTCTTGTCTGAAATCGGTTTAACTCTCGTCTTATATTAGTAATTGGTTAGAATAGGAAATGTTATTGTTATTATCTAAATTGTAAATCGGTAAAAATAGGCAAAACTTATTCAGCAGCCAGTGAGTTACTCCACCACCTGGGCAAGATGACAGTCCACTTGTTCCACCATCATTCAGCAGCCAGTGAGTTACTCCACCACCCGGGCAAGATGACAGTCCACTTGTTCCACCATCATTCAGCAGCCAGTGAGTTACTCCACCACCCGGGCAAGATGACAGTCCACTTGTTCCACCATCATTCAGCAGCCAGTGAGTTACTCCACCACCCGGGCAAGATGACAGTCCACTTGTTCCACCATCATTCAGCAGCCAGTGAGTTACTCCACCACCCGGGCAAGATGACAGTCCACTTGTTCCACCATCATTCAGCAGCCAGTGAGCTCCACCACCCGGGCAAGATGACAGTCCACTTGTTCACCATCATTCAGCAGCCAGTGAGTTACTCCACCACCCGGGCAAGATGACAGTCCACTTGTCCACCATCATTCAGCAGCCAGGGTTACCCACCACCCGGGCAAGATGACAGTCCACTTGTTCCACCATCATTCAGCAGCCAGTGAGTTACTCCACCACCCGGGCAAGATGACAGTCCACTTGTTCCACCATCATTCAGCAGCCGGTGAGTTACTCCACCACCTTGACAGTATACTATGTGCCATTACCTTTAATTAGAGCTAGTGTAAAGGTGATGAACAGTTTTATGTTGTGTCTCGCGGTGATCCTGGAGTCGCAGTGATCCTGTGAGTCGCGGTGATCCTGTGAGTAGCGGTGATCTGTGTCTGCGGTGATCCTGTGAGTCGCGGTGATCCTGTGAGTCGCGGTGATCCTGTGAGTAGCGGTGATCCTGTGTCTCGCGGTGATCCTGTGACTGGAGGTGATCCTGTGTCTCGCGGGTGATCCTGTGTCTCGGTGATCCTGTGTCTCATGGTGATCCTGTGAGCTGCGGTGATCCTGTGTCTCGCGGTGATCCTGGAGTCGCGAGGTGATCCTGTGTCTCGGGTGATCCTGTGAGCTGCGGTGATCCTGAGTTGCGGGATCCTGTGTCTCGCTGATCCTGTGAGCTTGTGATCCTGTGAGTCGCGGATCCTGTGAGCTGCGGTGATCCTGTGAGCTGCGGTGATCCTGTGAGTTGCGTGATCCTGTGTCTCGCGATGTGACTGTGTCTCGCGGTGATCCTGTGAGTTGTGGTGATCCTGTGTCTCGCGGTGATCCTGTGAGTCGCAGGGATCCTGTGTCTCATGGGTGATCCTGAGAGCTGGGTGTGATCCTGTGAGTTGGTGGTGATCCTGTGTCTCGCGGGTGATCCTGTGAGTTGTGGTGATCCTAGACCTGCGGTGATCCTGTGAGTTGCGGTGATCCTGTGACTGCGGTGATCCTGTGAGTTGCGGTGATCCTGTGACTTGCGGTGATCCTGTGAGCTGCGGTGATCCTGTGATTGCGGGTGATCCTGTGAGCTGGCGGTGATCCTGTGTGTCTCGCGGTGATCCTGTGAGTTGCGGTGATCCTGTGACTCGCGTGATCCCGAGCTATGTGATCCTGGAGTTGCGTGTGATCCTGAGCTGCGGTGATCCTGTGTCTCGGGTGATCCTGGAGCTGTGTGATCCTGTGTCTCAGGTGATCCTGTGAGCTGCGTGATCCTGAGCGGATCCTGTGAGCTTGTGATCCTGTGAGCTGCGGTGATCCTGTGTCAGTTGCGGTGATCCTGTGAGCTGCGTGATCCTGTGAGCTCGCGGTGATCCTGTGAGTTGCGGTGATCCTGTGTCTCATGGTGATCCTGTGAGTTGCGGTGATCCTGGTCTCATGGGTGATCCTGTGAGCTGCGGTGATCCTGTGACTGCGGTGATCCTAGAGGCGGTGATCCTAGAGTTGCGGTGATCCTGTGTCTGCGGTGATCCTGTGAGTTGCGGTGATCCCAGGAGTTGCGGTGATCCTGTGAGCTCGCGGTGATCCTGTGAGTCAGTGATCCTGTGAGCTGCGGTGATCCTGTGAGCTGCGTGTGATCCTGTGACTGCGGTGATCCTGTGACTGCGGTGATCCTGTGAGCGGTGATCCTGTGTCTCATGGGTGATCCTATGAGTTGCGGTGATCCTAGAGTTGCGTGTGATCCTGTGTCTCATGTGATCCTGTGACTGGCGGTGATCCTGTGTCTAATGGTGATCCTAGACTCATGGTGATCCTGTGTCTAACGGTGATCCTGTGTCTCGCGGTGATCCTGTGACTCATGTGATCCTGTGACTCACAGATCCTGTGTCTAACGGTGATCCTGTGATTCTGGTGGTGATCCCGTGACTCGCGGTGATCCTGTGACTCGCGGTGATCCTGTGTCTCAGTGGTGATCCCAGACTCGCGGTGATCCTGGACTGCAGATCCTAGACTGCTGGTGATCCTGTGACTGCGGTGATCCTGTGTCCTGGTGATCCCGGGATTCTGGCTGATCCTGTGCATCATGGTGATCCTATGACTATGGTGATCCTGTGACTCGCGGGATCCTGGACTATGGTGATCCTGTGACTGCGGTGATCCTGTGACTCTCGCGGTGATCCTGGGACTCGCGGTGATCCCAGGACCTGCGGTGATCCTGTGACTCGCGGTGATCCCAGACCTGCGGTGATCCCAGGACTCCTGTGATCCTGTGACTGCGGTGATCCTGCAGGACTCGTGGTGATCCCGTGACTTGGCTGATCCTGTGACTCGTGGTGATCCCGGGACTCGCAGATCCCAGATCTGCTGATCCTGTGACTCGTGGTGATCCCGGACTCGGTGGTGATCCTGTGACCAGTGGTGATCCCGTGACTCGCGGTGATCCCAGACTCGCAGATCCTGTGACTCATGGTGATCCCGGGACTCTCGGTGATCCCGGACTCGCGGTGATCCCAGACTCGTGGTGATCCTGTGACTCGCTGGTGATCCTGTGACTGTGGTGATCCCAGACTCCGTGGTGATCCGTGTGACTCGCGGTGATCCTGTGACTCGCGGTGATCCCAGACTCGCGGTGATCCCGGACTTGCGGATCCTTGAGTCGCTGTACAATTAGCGCGTTTCTTTTAACCTCGGAGTCCGCGTTGAAGACAAGCACCCAGTGTACAGTAAAGGTATTATAACGGAAATGTTCTTATTTAATTTACTAACTCTTAAATTGTTTAAAGTTATATATTAAATAGTTTATATATCGATTTATTTTTCGTAAACACATTTTTTCTTGGTGCCTACTTTAACTGAGAGAGAGAGAAGGAGAGATGCGGTCCCCCCTGGCTGTCATTAAGTTTACTCACCAAGTAATTAGAGTCACTTAACACAATTTACAAAGTTTTCAGTAAATTATAGTTTTAGATCAAATATTCAGTCATTCTCTTGCTCTTTTTTCTTATATTTTTTCTTTTTTCACCTTTTCCTCTCCGCTTGTTTCTCTCTACATGTAAAGGTGTACGTAAATTGACAATGAAAAACGCACGCACACACACACACACAGACACAGACACCAATACAGCCCGCTTGATGACGTATATAGAAGGGAGGGAGGGAGGGAGGGAGGGGAGGAGGGAGGGTCAAGGATACAGAGAGAAGAGAGAAAACATGGCGATAAATGACTGACAAATACATAAACAAAATAATAAACCACCAACATAAACAAGACAAATACACACATCAGAAATTACACTCAAAAATAATATGAATAAAACATTAACAATCAAACCCATGAATAAAGTTGATAAATGAATAATTGTAGAATAGTAGGGGGGAATATAAAAACAAGACAAAATAAATGATAAATAATAATAATAATAAAATAATAATAATAATAATAATAATAAAATTAATAATAATAATAATAATAATAATAATAATAATAATAATAATAATAATAATCATATTATTATTAATAATAATAATAATAACCATAATAATAATAATAATAATAATAATAATAATAATAATAATAATAATAACTATATTAATAATAATAATAATAATAATAATAATAATAATAATAAAATTAATACTAATAATAATAATAATAATAATAATAATAATAATAATTAATAATAATAATAATAATAATAATAGTAATAATATTAATTAATTAATAATAATAATAATAATAATAATAAAATTAATAATTTAATAATAATAATAATAATAATAATAATAATAATAATAATAATAATTAATTAATAATAATAATAATAATAATAATAATAATAATAATAATAATAATAATAACCATAATAATAATAATAATAATAATAATACTTAATAATAATAATAATAATAATAATAATAATAATAATAATATATTAATTAATATAATAATAATAATAATAATAATAATAATAAAATTAATTAATAATAATACTAATAATAATAATAATAATAATAATAATAATAATAATAATAACCGCATATAATTTATATTAATTATTTGATAAATTTAGCTAAATAATAAAAAAAATTTTTATAAGTAAACTCTAACAAGGTGTTGAGCCGTTAATGGACGATATTGGAAACTTTATAACCAGACACGTCGGGGTTATGGCACTACCTGACACACCTTACAACACCCTGACACACCCCTGACCTGACACCCTGGCACTACCTGACACACCCCTGGCACTACCCGACACACCCCTGGCACTACCTGACACACCCCTGGCACTACCTGACACACCCCTGGCACTACCTGACACACCCCTGGCACTACCTGATACACCCCTGGCATTACCTGACACACCCTGGCACTACCCGACACAACTGGCACCACACCTGACACACCCTGGCACTACCCGACACACCTCGCACTACCTGACACACCCTGGCACTACCTGACACACACCTGGCACTACCTGACACACCCTGGCACTACCTGACACACCCCTGGCACTACCTGACACACCCCTGCACTACCTGACACACCCTGGCACTACCTGACACCCTGGCACTACCTGACACCCCTGCACTACCTGAACACCCCTGCACTACCTGACACACCCCTGGCACTACCTGACACACCCCTGGCACTACTTGACACACCCCTGGCACTACACCTGACACACCCTGGCACTACCTGACACACCCCTGGCACTATCTGACACACCCTGGCACTACCGGACACACACCTGGCACTACCTGACACACCCCCGCACTACCTGACACACCCTGGCACCACCCGACACACCCTCTGGCACTACCTGACACACCCCTGGCACTACCTGACACACCCCTGGCACTACCTGACACAACCCTGGCACTACCTGACACACACCTGGCACTCCTGACACACACCCGACTACCTGACACACCCCTGGCACTACCTGACACACCCCTGGCACTATCTGACACACACCTGGCACTACCTGACACACCCCTGGCACTACCTGACACACTGACACTACCTGACACACCCCTGGCACTATCTGACACACCCCTGGCACTACCTGACACAACCTGGCACTACCTGACACACCCCTGGCACTACCTGACACACCCCTGGCACCACCTGACCCACCCTGGCACCACCTGACACACTCCGACACCCTGGCACTCGACACACCCCTGGCACTACCTGACACACCCTGGCACTACCTGACACACCCCTGCACTACCGACACACCCTGCACTACCTGACACACCCCTGGCACTACCTGACACACCCCTGGCAATACTCTGACACACCCCTGGCACTACCTGACACACCCTGGCACTACTGACACACCCTGGCACTACCTGACACACCCCTGCACTACCCGACACACCCCTGGCACTACCTGACACACCCCTGCACTACCTGACACACCTACCTGACAACTCTACCTGACACACCCTGGCACTACCCGACACACCCCTGGCACTACCTGACACACTTGCACTACCCGACACACCCTGGCACTACCTGACACACCCCTGGCACTATCTGACACACCCTGGCACTATCTGACATACACCTGGCACTACCTGACACACCCCTGGCACTACCCAACACACTCTTGGCACCATCTGACGCCCCAAACACCTGACACACCCCTGCACCACCTGACACACCCTGGCACTACCTGACACACCCCTGGCACCACCTGACACACCCCTGGCACCACCTGACACACCCTGGCACTACCTGACACACCCCCGGCACTACCTGACACACCCTTGGCACTACCTGACACACCCCTGGCACTACCTGACACACCCTGGCACTACCTGACACACACCTTGGCACCACCTGACACACCCTGGCACTACCTGACACACCCCTGGCACTACCTGACACACCCCTGGCACCACCTGACACACCCCTAATACCTGACACACGCCTGCACTACCTGACACCTTGGCACTACCTGACACACCCCTGGCACTACCTGACACACCCTTGGCACTACCTGACACACCCTTGGCACTACCTGACACACCCCTGGCACTACCTGACACACCCTTGGCACCACCTGACACACCTTGGCACCATCTGACGCCACCCTAGCACCTTTTTGACACCTCCTGACATCCCTGGACACCTAACACTTCCTGGCACCTTTTAACTCTCCATGACACCCCTGGCACCTAACACCCCCCTCGCACCTCCTCACACCCTCTGGGACCCCTGTGTATAATATCACCTGTATAGCGCCAATAACGTCATTACTGTTATTGTTCATATTGTTATTGTTATTATTACTGTGCATCACTCTGTTGCTCTGACCTTTCACTCGAGAAATTCTAAATTCCAGAGGAGATAAACTCTAGTAATAACTGAAGAAATAAACAATATTAATGGT